GCCCTCTGCACCAGGAGGAACCCAGGGCCCACTGCATATTTTTTGTCCTGAGCAGGCCGACTGCTGCCCCCTGCTGCGCGTCAGAGGCAGCACAGTAAGACACACGCTGTCAACACTGATTCAAATATAACCAAGAAGAACTGTCAGACTCTGAGCAGGTTGTAAAAGTGTTTACAGGCTGTTAACGTGACATTTTAAACGTAATTTTGACCAGAAGTGCCTAAACGTGTGCGTGCCACTGAAAGCGGAACCTTTGAAAGACGCCGTTGTTTGACGTCGGAGTATGAATCCCGAACTATCAACAGGAACCGGCGGAGGAGCAGCACCTCCTGGTGCAAACTGGTAGTTTTTAAGTACTAATTCACTTGTTGTCGTACATTAATGTGTCTCCGGGTGTGTTAGAAGCTGCTGCGGTTGATTTATCACCGAGCTACATTTAATTACTTTCGAAAAACAAACATGTAATCAGCTAACTTCCCCCGCGGGGTTCTTTTGCCTTGATTAGCTCGCAAAACTGGCAACAGGAAGTTGACGTTTTTGCACAAGATTTGGCAGTATGTGTTATACAGATGGTCGCCGAATTGAAGATTAACACATACAAAAGCAGTTAGGTTAAATTCATAAGCCATAACAGATGTACATTTTCATATAAGGAAGCAATCTTTAAAATGTAGACGTTCGTATATTGGGTTTGGTGTGATGCGCGTTTTTTTTGCTTTGCAAAACTGGCATTTTAACAATAAATCTTAATACATGTGTTATTGAAATGATGGCCGAATTGAAGATTAACACATACAAAGGCAGTTAGGTTAAATACATAAGCCATATCGTGCCTATATTTTCATATAATGAAGCAATCTTTACAATGTAGACATTCGTATATTGAGTTTGGTGTGATGTGCAGGCTTCTTGCTGTGCAAAACTGGCATTTTAGCAATAAACTTTGCTTTCTGTGTTATTGAAATGATGGCCGAATTGAAGAGTAGCTCATACAAAAACAGTCACAGCTTAAAGTCATTAGCTGTAACTCATCTATATTAATTTATAAGCAAGGATTTTTTAAAATTCCGTTTTTGTAAATGGAGATTGGCTTCACTGTTTGCCTCAAAGCTCTAACCTGAGACTGCAATGTAAAAAGTGTGTATTTTTGCATTACGTATTGCTTATTATACTCATGCCGAATTAAGCACTAGCTGCTAACGATGTAGACACTGTTTGAAAAAAGTCGGTATGTCAAAGAATGTGTGCTGGGAAATGAGGGAAGTCTTAAATTCAGAGATTTGTGAATGGAGTTTGGCGCGACGCTCTCTGCACACAGGCGAGAGCGGAGCGTGTCAGGACAACATCCTCCTGATAAGCTTCTAACCGCTGGCATCTGTGCCCAGCTCTGCGTGGCTGTATACTGCAGTCATAAAGTTACTGATTTGGTATTTTTGCGATTTCCAAATTGGCATGAGTCAACCTCTGAAACGTGCCCTGCGCTTCAAATGGCGACTGACGAGAAATACCTCGTTTTATTCCCCGAAAACAGTCCCATTACAGGTCAGAAGAGAGGAGCCGGTAACCCGCCGCGGTCTGCCCTCCTGCAAGGTGGTGATTATGCGGCCGGGACGGCGTCTGTAGCCCGGCTTTAACAGATCTCGGGCCAGGCTTTGGGGGCGCATTCCTTGGAGGTGAGTGATTGAGAGAAGAGGTTTGATAAAAAAGAAAAGTACACCGTATTGTTTGGGGGTGTGTGGGTGTTCAGTGGGATCCACTTCCAGGAACATTTCCACAACATCCAGCAGCTTCCACCTGGGTAACCTGTAAAAGTAGTGAAAATATGAATGGGATTTGGCGTGGGGTCTGTTAATGGGAAAGAAAATGCTTGGGCTGCACCTTTAATGTCGCTGACGTCACTCCTAATGAAACATACAGTATCGTGCACAAACAGGAGTCATTGTAAAATAATAAAGTTTACATTGAAGTGCACTGGAATGCATTCTGGGAGTTGTAGTAGACTGGACTGATGAGCTTTTCTTTTGTCAGGTTGTTTTGTTTCTAGACCGTGATGGAGCCCCGAGGAGCCCCCGCCGCCGACCTCCTGCAGCGGCCCTGGCTTCCTGTGAGCATCAGCGGCTGCCAGCTCCTCGCCAAGAGCTGGTTTGGGGACACGGCGTACCACATCCTGCTGACAGACATTCACTGTGTGTGGGAGGAGAGCATGGACTCAGCAGCCATTCAGAAGAGAGCGCAGGTACGCACGACTCAAAATGATTCGTCGTTCATTTATCGCCAGTTTAAGTTTCATGAATGATTCGTGTTTTCTTCCCACCAGGAGCTGAACCGACGGTTGCGAGCGCCGGTCAAAGCTTTCTTCTCCCACCTGTGCGAGGTGGTTCAGCCCTGTCTGGCAGGAAGTGACGGGGGACCCGACGGCGACGCCCAGATCTCCCTGACGCGTCAGGAGGACGGAAACGTCAGCATGAAGCTGAAGAGTGAGCTGGCGGGGCTGCCCTTCTACTGGGAGTTCCACTGCACCCCCGCCCCCGTCACAGTGGTACGCTCCACATTTAACATATCCTTTCAGGTTGTCCATCCGTCTGTCTGTGCGTCCCGCTCTTGTGAACGTGATACCTCAACAGCTCCTTCAGGGAATTTCTTCAAATTTGGCACAGACTTCCCTTTGAACTCAGCAATGAGCTGATTAGAATTTGATTTATCTGAGATTTTGGTGGTTGTAGGTCAAAGGTCAAGGTCACTGTGACCTCATCTGTCTTTTTCCCGTGAACCTGATATCTTAAGAACACCTTGAGGAGATTTTTTTATAAATTTGGCACAACTGTCCAGTTAGATTCAAGGATGAACTGATTCGATTTTGATGGTCAAAGGTCACTGTGACCTCGTCTGTCTCATTCTTGTGAAAGCGACATCTCAAGAACTCAAAGAAGAACTCAAGAAAGGAAATGTCCTCAAATTTGGCACAAATGTCCCCTTGAACTCAGCAATGAACTGATTACAGTGGTGATTCGATTTGAGGTCAAGGTCACTTTGATTTTGAGTCTGTCTTATTCTCATGGAAGTGTTATCTCAGCAGAGCCTTGAGGGAGTGTCTTCAAATTCGGCACAAACATATGGTTGGACTCAAGGATGAGCTAATTAGATTTTGATGGTCAAAGGTCAAGGTTACTGTGGCCTTGCATTTGTCTCACTCTTGTGAAGGTGATATCTGAAGAACATATTGAGGGAATTTCTTCAAATTCGGCACAAACATCTGCTTGGACTCAACAATGAACTGATTAGAATTTTGTTGAGATTAGATCTTCTGTGATCGTAGGTCAAAGGCCAAGGTCACTGTGACCTTGCATCTGCCTCACTCTTGTGAACGTGATATCTGAAGTACACCTTGTGGAAATTTCCTCAAATTTGGCATGAACGTTTCCTTTCACTTAGCCATGAATTGATTAGAATTTGGTGGTTACATTACAAAAGTTGAATGACTTCATTAATTAGGGTTTCTTCTAACAGTTTAAAGAATTCTTTACTCTAAAAAAAACCTCCAAATTTTGTGAGAAACATTTAAATATCTGTCATTTTTAACACAAATTAAAAGTTTAACAGAGAATATTGATTATCAGGTGAAACAGCTCTCTAGCCTCCAAATACATTAACCCTGATGTTTTATCAGCTTTGAGGATGATTTCTGGGAACATCTGAGGAAAACTACTTTATTACATTAAATAAATGGTACATTAGTCACTGACTTTTTGATTTTACGAGGTAAAGAATTTGATTTGCTGAATTCCAGTTCAAACAAAATGCTTTAAAAAGTGATAAAAAAGAAAGAAAACGATTCAAACAACAAGAGTTAAAAAGTAGCACAAAATTAAAACCTGACATCTATGTAATACAGGAAATTAAATCTGCAAAGGGTTTATAATAAGTCACGTAAACATGGTGAGTTCAAACTGCAGTCTTTTCCTCTGACAGTTTCATGTGTGTGTTTTCAGGCGTGTGTCCAGCTGGTGCGCCCCCTGCTGGTGATGAGCCACCTGCTGCAGCGACAGGTGGAGCAGCTCGGAGGTCTGCTGGGGAGGAAGGACGCAGAGATCCAGGACTACAGGGAGAACGGGGCCACGCTCAGCAGAGGTACACACACACACACACACACACACACACGTGCGCGCATTTTATTTAACCTTTATTTTACCAGGAGTCCTGAAAGCAGAAAAAAATCACAGGCATTAAAAATGATCTGATGTGTTTTTCTGCGACGATCTTCGAATACTTTATTTATTTTTTTTCTTTCTCCGTGCTGGGGATAGTCGTGGCTGGAGGCCGGGTTGTTCATCTGTCCATTCGTGCTCATGTTTGTCCTGTTTTTGTAATGTCTCAAGAATGCCGTGAGGGAATTTCTTCAAATTTGGCACAAATGTGCACCTGGACTCAAGGATGAAATGATTAGATTTTGGTGGTCAAAGGTCATGATGAACTCGTCTGTCTCATTCTCATGGACACATTATCTCAAAAACGCCTTGAGGGCTTTTATTTTCCAAATTTGGCACAAACGTTTACTCGGACTCAGTCATGAACTGTTTAGATTTTATGGGTCAGAAGTCAGCGGCCAAGGTTGTTGTGACCTCGTCTGTCTCATTCTGATGGACACATTATCTCAAAAACGCCTTGAGAAATATTTTTGTCAAATTTGGCACAAACGTTTACTTAGATTTTAAAGGTCATAGGTCAAAGGCCAAGGTTGTTGTGACCTTGTCTGTCTCATTCTCATGGACACATTATCTCAAAAACGCCTTGAGGAATATTTTTTGTTAAATTTGGCACAAACATTTACTTAGATTTTAAGGGTCATAGGTCAAAGGCCAAGGTCATTGTGACCTCATCTCTCTCATTCTCTTGAACATGGTAGCTCAAGAACGACTGGAGAAAATTACTTAAAATTTGGCACAAAAGTTTCATCTGCCTCAAGGATGGACTGATTAGAGTTTGGTGGTAAAAGTTCAAGGTCACTATGACCTTGCATCCATCTCATCCTTGTGAACGCAGTATCTCAAGAACACTTTGAGAGAATTTCTTCGAATCTTGCACAAACATTCACTTTGAGTTACAGATGAACTCATTAGATTTCGGTGGTCAAAGGTCACTGTGACCTTACAAAAGATGTTTTTGGCCCGAACTTAAGAATTGACATGACAAAATTTCACACAAATTTCTAATGGGACAGAATGATGAAATGATGAGAGGTAGTCCATCCTATTCTTGGGAACTTTTTATCTCAAGAACGCATCAGGGGAATTTCTTCAGATTTGGCACAATCGTTCACTTGAACTTAACAATGAACTGATTAGAATTTGGTAGTCATAGGTCAAAGGTCACTGTGACCCTGTCAGTTGCATTCTCATGAACGTGATATTTCAAAAACACCTTTAGGGTGTGTTTTTTTTTAAATTTGGCACAAAGGTTTACTTTGAGTCAAGGATGAACTCATTAGAAGAAGACTTAGTTTTCCTCTCATGCCTCCAAGATGAACGTAGAAACAAAAACACGTTTGTGTCTTTCTCATCCGTTTCATGAACTCGTGACCTCTCGGATTTATTTTGGGGCTCCTGACCACCAGCTGTGGGGCCACATGGAGGGAGTGGAAGGGTTAATGTTTTATCATATGCTAAATAATCCAAATGTGTGTGTGTTTGAACCCAGAGCGGCTGCAGACGGACGTCTTCGAGGAGCAAACCTACAGAGAGGGCTTCATGTCAAAGGTCAGTGACACACACACTCACACACACACACACATGCACTGCGGCCCCTGCAGCTGGTTGTTAAGGCCTGTTTTTACCGTCCTCTCTGCGCTCCGTTCCTGATCGTTAACCGGCTGTGGCGAGCGCAGCTGAAACCACATGATAAAACACTGCGGCCGCTGGAGCAGCCGGCGCTGTCTCCGCCTGAAACACGAGCCGCCGTGACACGCTCTCAGTTCAAGTGGCCGTGCATTACCATCAGCCAATCAGAGGCAGACGAGGTTTTACATTGAAAGTGTTTACTGTGTGTTCATGTGTAGAATTTCTCATCTGTTAATTGTTGACCTCAGTGTGTGTGTGTGTGTGTGTGTGTGTGTGTCTGTGATGACTCGTTTCAGATCCACCTGTGGAATGTTCAGTGTGTATCTACGTGCTCCTTTCCTGTCTGTTTTTACATTTTTATCTATTTGCTGCTCAGTTTTGTTTCAGTTTCACTGTTTTGCTTTTTTTTAAAATGTAGTTTCATTCAATTTTTTTGATGTAATCATTTTTTTAGGATTTCACCGTGGCACAACACAGAAAACAAAGACAGTAAGCAGTTGTGGGCAAAGTTTTTAGGTCTTTAACTTAAGTAAAATTTGCAGAATTATGTTCTAAAAGTACCAAAAATAAAAGTACTCATCGTGCAGAATAGCCTGTTTTAGCTATATTAATAGCTCATGTGTGCTTTGCTTGTTTCTCTGGTAGCTTAAGATCCAGATGTTCAGGAGGTTTTTACAAGGTCTCTTCCTCTCCGAAACGAATGAATCCAGTGATTTAAATTGGTGAAAACACTGAATAAAGCAGTTTCATGTTAAAATTCAGTGTTTCTCCAATGTGGTGCTGCACAGCAAGGACTGAAGCTGGGCTGACGCAAATGCCTGCTCTGCTTGTTTCTCTGATAACTTAAGATCCAGATGTTCAGGAGGTTTTTACAAGGAGCTGAATTATCCACAGAGGTCTCTTCGTCTCCAAAACAAACTGATCCGATGATTTAAATTGATAAAAACAGTGAATAAAGCAGTTTTATGTTAAAAATCAGTGTTTCGCCAATGCTGTTTGGCACAGCAAGGGACTGAAGCTGGGCTGACGCTAACGTTTGGTCTGCTTGTTTCTCTGATAACTTCAGATCCAGATGTTCAGGAGGTTAATACAGGCAGCCGAATTATCCACAAAGGTCTCTTCTTCTTCGAAACAAACAGACCCAAAGATTAAAACCAATAAAAACACTGAATTAAGAAGTTTCATGTTAGAAATCAGTGTTTTTCCAGTGTAGTTCTGGATGGCAGGGGACTGAAATCGAACGTTTGCTCAGCTTGTTTCTCGGATAACTTCAGATACTGGATATAAACAGATCTACAATCAGATTTTTAGCCTAAGGTCGGGAAAAGATTCAAGAATCATAGTAATAATGTTAATTACTATTATCAAAATGTGTTATTATGTGTCCTGTCCTGTGACTTTTCTGTGCACAGGTCATTCATAAAAAAGACAAAAAAATGTATTTATTGTGCCTCTGACTGTTTGTTTCTTTTTGCCGTGGTATCAAGTATCATTTTTTTTCATACTAGCACTGTATCAAAGTCTAAAATTGTGGTATGGTGACGACATTATCTTCTTAAATTAACATCTTGACTTGCTCGTTACAATCAGCCCACTGTAGGGAACAGGTTTACTGTGTGATTTACTGCAGTGTTACTGATCTATTGTGAGACCTCTCCAGAAATGTTAAACCTAAAATTAACCGAACCTCTGACGCCTTTTGTTCTTCAGCCTCCTCTGCAGAAAGAGACACATTGTTTAAAACATGTCAGCTTTGACGTGAAGGTCATGGAGGTTTTAAAGGTGAAGATCAGAGGGAAATTTTCCACCGAGTCATAAGTCACGGTTTGTTTGTCGCGTCACTTGGTGGTTTTCAGACAGGAAGCCGATGGTGTTTGTCTAAAAGGACACACCAGGAAAGGATCTCATTTTTAGGTGGTGGAAGGCATCCAGCTCAGGTACGGCGAGTCATGGAAAGTTACATCCAGGTCACAGTGGCGGCTCTGTTTCCTGCTTGCTTGGTGATCACATCGGTGGAGCAGGAAGGCGAGCGGACACTCAGAGACCACAGAAGAAGAAGAAGTGGATCAAAGTCTTCTTCCTCGTGGCAAATTCCACCGGGCTGCGACGAGGCCGCCTCCAGACCAAAGTCCAAACTGAAATAAAAACCCGTCTGGGAAAAATGTCGGCGGGACGCGTCAAAGGGAGACACACTGGATGGGCTGCTCCGTGTGTGTGTGTGTGTGTGTGAATCAGAGTAAATCAGGTGAAGGCGTTTGGCGTGTGTGTGTAGTATTTATCTATCAGGGTCGGGCTTTTGCATGCTCCTGTTTGTGTTTGCCGTCTGTCCATCCAGCGACTTGTGTTTGTGCCTACGTCTGTGTCCGTCTCCATGGCGACGCTCACCATGAAGGCCTTCATGCTGATCATTTTAACAGATCATAATTAGGTTTTTTGGGGGGTTTTAACAGAGTCGAAAACACGGCAATTTTGCACGATCGTCAGTCGCCAGACGTATTTTTGAATGACATGTATTGGTCGCACAGATGTGTTTTAAGTGTCACTTAATGGCACTTTTCGTGGCACTATCCTGGCAGGAAACACACCAGTGTTCATGTCTGCATTTTGCAGTCGGTCTGCAGTGTTTACTCCGGTGTGACTTTCGAGTTCTGCTCTTGTTTTGAGAACGTGAGACAGCAGTTATAGTCACATGTGAATCCACTGAGCTTGAAGTCCAGGCGTCACAGGTTGACGGCACCCTGCACAGTTCAGTTGGTTTTCGCAGGAAACATCTCGGCACTACCTCGGCAGGAAATGCAGCAACGTCCAGTGCCATGAAAAGCGGTTGAACGACGATCTTTGGACGAAGACACAGCTAATTCCAGCTTGAGATGAAACTGGACGAAGAGGATCAAAATGGATCGGGCACGCTCTTCGAAAACCAATGTCAAACATCGCCAGATGGGCTCTGTCGTGGAATCCTCGGGGGAAGAGAAAGAGAGGTCGGGCAAGAAACACCTGGTGAAGGGATCTGCAGGAAGACACCAAGAAGACGGGATACACCTAGTCACAGGTAGAAAAGAATGCCAGCGATCGGGTACTCTGGAGGTTCCTTGTCAACAGCCCATACCCCAAAAGGGTTTAAGGCATAAGTAAGTTTCATGGCACTATTCTGGTGGAAATTGCACAAATGTCTTGGTAAAACCATTCCAGCAAGAAACACCACGATGTCTCTGTAAAAAACAGCCACTTTCTCGGCGGGAAAGGTACTAAGGTCTTGGAAAAAATGGTTGCTTCACGCAGGAAACGTAGCAATATCTCAGTTAAAAATAAGCCGTTTTTCGTGGCACTGTTGTGGCAGAAAACACGCTCATGTCTCAGTAAAAACAGTTGCTTTTTGCAGGAAACGTAGCAATATCTCAGTAAAAACAACCTCTTTTCTTGGAACTGTTGCAGCAAGAAACGTAGTGACGTTGCAGTAAAAAACGGACGCTTTTTGTGACAGTATCTTGGCAGGGAAGACAGTGATGTCTCTGTAATAAACGACCGCTTTTCGTGGCACTGTTGTGGCAGAAAACACGCTAATTTCTCAGTAAAAACAGTTGCTTTTTGCAGGAAATGTAGCAATATCTCAGTAAAAACAACCTCTTTTCTTGGAACTGTTACAGCAAGAAACGTAGTGACGTTGCAGTAAAAAACGGACGCTTTTTGTGACAGTATCTTGGCAGGGAACACAGTGACTTGTTGCGAGGAAACACCTGTTTGGTGAGTTAAAGTCAGTTGGAAATGCAGCAGTGACTTGCTGTTTCTGGGTCACTATCAGTGGTCCCCTGCTTGGCAGCGTCTCACCCAGGTGTCACATATTAGAAACGTTGATGCGACACATAAAAACTAACATCTCCAGCGTTTACAGAAAAGTAAAATACCAACATTTTCTCCTGTGCTCTTTTTCCCTTCGTGAACTTCTCTGACATTTACTCAGTTATTTACGTTCCTGCTGCCAACAGAGACAAATATCCTCAAAAATCTTCTGGCCTCATCACCCCCCCCTCCCCGCTTTCACCATTTCCACCAGTGTGTTTGGATGTGTGTGTGTGCTTGCGCCATTCGTGGCCTCCCGTTTCCCACACCAAGGGGAGTGAAGGGCAGAGGGACAGTGAAGGAGAGCCGATGATGACAGGAGCAGGAGCTTTTATTTTTCTCCTGCAGCTTTCCATGAAAGCCCCTCCCCAGCCCGCCACCACACAAACACCCCACCCAGCTCAGGTCAACATTTACATGGGTGGAATTAGCATGCGCTTCCCACTGATACACACACACACACACACACACACACACACACACTTGGATTTAAGTTGGGCACCGGCTAAAGCTGGTCATGAAAAAAAGAAAAGTTCAAATCCTTTTAGGATCACATCAGCTTCCCTTAGGACCTAAATTTGGAGTGTGTGTGTGTGTGTGTGTGTGTGTGGTGGCAGCAGCTCATGACCTGACAGAGGGGAGTGTCTGCTTGTCCACACAGAGCGGGCTGTGACGCATGCTTTTGGTTTTTCGGAGTTGAGTGTTGGTGTGTGTGTGTCACTGAGGCTGTTTTTTTTTCTTTATGTCTACATGCATGAGTGTGTATGTGTGTGTGTCATGGTGACGCATGCTCCGCAGCACTCGCAGCGCGTCGTGCAGCAGCGTCACAGTTGTCAGCCCCTGGATTGAATTGTCACCGCTTGGGAACGTCGCCCGCTTCCTGTTCCACGAGACGGCGGCTTCACAGCTCCACGGCAACCAACCGCGCAGCAGTTTTAACGACATCTGACAATTAGTGGCGTCCTCTGACCAGAACACCTCACTGGAGCTGCACAGGATCACATAATTGAGCCAAAATGTTGCCTTCCTGCGTTGTTGGCTTCCAAATTTGGCGTTCCTCACTCCAAATTTCCTGCTTT